AGAAGGGAAGACCACAATGGCTCTGATATTGAGTTCACATTACAGAAGCCGAGGTTACAAGGTCGTGTTTGTGGAAAGCATTGACAAGTTTGATTTGGACAGCTGCCTCAGTTCTACTCCAAGGGTATTTCTTATCATTGATCACATGTTTGGTACTGTAGGCTGGTCCACTAATGTTCCACTGATTAAATCATTTCTTAAAAATCTTCTTCTCCATTTAGAACACTGTAAGCAGGCCTTAAAACAAATTCAGTCAGTTAGGACAGATGAAAGAAACCACAAGCAGGATGATGAAAGAAAGAGTCAAAGAAAGGATATTCGTGTTATTTTCACAACAAAGTCATACAACTTTCATGACAGACTTGCACAACTGCACTTTGTTTGTTTTCCTCTGTTTGAGAAACAAGCAGTGATAAATATAGCCTTACACAGTCTTTCCCAAGCAGAGGAACAGCAAATATACGAGAGACATAAGAGCATAGCAGATGAGTGCTCCAAAGGTAATCTACCCGAATACAGTGATTTGGAAATACCTTCAAGATTATTTGGATTCCCGCTCATATGTAAACTTTGTACTTTTTCAAACAATCCCAGAAAGCTTTTCAAAGAACCATTGTCTTATTTGAGGGAGGAACTCACTGAGATAATTGGTGCTATGAATGATCGATCTGCAGTGTTTGTCCTGATGTTACTTTGTGAAGGCAGATTACAACTGACAAAGTTAGAAAGTTATGATGCAGGCCAGGAGTTTGATGAGAAAGTCAACATTGTGATACGTCTAATACCTACAGCTACACGCTCGGGGATGTGTCAAGCAGCACGTAGTTTCAGAGGAACATTTTTCACAAGAGGAGACACTGTTGGCTTTACTCATTCTTCAATCTATGATGCATGTGCATGTGTCGTATATGGCATCAATCCAAGCTTTGTTTTGAAGAACTGCAGTGATGCCTTTCTGTACGAGCGAGTACACCGAGAAACTGTCAGAGAAACCAAAGTTGATGATAATCTTCATTTGATTTTCATTTCCGAAGAGTATTATGATCTTCTGTCCACACGGTTTGCAAATGCTATTAAGCAAGGAAAGTTTTCAAAGTCAGTAACACATCCAACCCTTAAGCACAGCAAACTAGCTGAACAACTTCTTGAAAGACTGACATTTGGTGAGACGAAACACAACACAAATGATTCAGTGGACCATGCATGGATTCACCAAAGAGAAAAAGGAAAGTGTTTCTTGTATTGGGCTGTTCTGGGACATAATCAACATTTGGTTACACATATGGAGACTCAAACTGGAGAAGTGTTCACAGATGACGAGATCACAGAAGCTATGGAAGGCTGTGCTCAAACAAACAAGGTGACGTTACTGCAATGGCTACTCTCAAAGACTGATGGACAGGATTGGACTAACAGACTGAACAGACTGCTGTTGTCTGCAGCAGAAAATGGCAGTACTGAAACACTTTTGTATCTGCTGAAAGCTGGAGCCAGTCTCCATACCTCTGACTCCAGGATGCAAGACATTTTCCATTTGGTGTGTAAATCACAACACGAAGACACACTTCGGGCACTGTTAAATACACAGTCAAATACAGATATTTTAAACAGGGTTGATGTGAATGGATACACTCCTCTACTGGTTGCAGCAAAAACAGGATCAGAGGAATGTTTCAAACAGCTGGTATCGATCTCAAATATGGATGTTCAGGACATAAATGGTGATGGTGTTTTACACCTTGCTTGTGAAGGAGGAAACATTGCCATTGTTAGGCAACTGCTACCTTCAGTCAGCATTGACAAAAGAGGCATAAATGGCTGGACACCAGTCATGTTGGCAGCATTCATGGGACACAAAAAGGTGTTTGACCTCCTGGAATCAAAGGGGGCGGACCTGTCTATGCTTGATACATTTGGTAATAGTGTACTTCATGTTGCTTGTATGGGAGGCAATATGTCTATAGTTCAACATCTGGTGTCACATTCGAATGTGAACAACCGAGGCATAATTGGATGGACACCAATAATGGCTGCAGCTCTCTATGGACACAAAAGCGTGTTTGACCTCCTGAAATCAAAGGGGGCGGACCTCTCTCTACTTGATGAATCTGGAAATAGTATACTTCACCTTGCCTGTCTGGGAGGCAACATGTCTTTGGTTGAACATCTGGTGTCAGATTCTAATATCAACCTGAAGAGTGACAATGGAAGGACACCAATAATGGCTGCAGCTTTCAAAGGACACAAAAGCGTGTTTGACCTCCTTGAATCAAAGGGGGCAGACTCCACCCTGCTTAATACATTTGGTGATAGTTTACTTCACTTTGCCTGTCAGGGAGGCAACGTTGCTTTGGTGGAACATCTGGTGTCAGATTCTAATATCAACCTCAGAAACGGGAATGGAAGGACACCACTAATGGCTGCAGCTTTCAAAGGACACAAAAGCGTGTTTGACCTTCTTGAATCAAAGGGGGCAGACTCCACCCTGCTTGATACATTTGGTGATAGTTTACTTCACCTTGCCTGTCAGGGAGGGAACATGTGCTCTGGTTGAACATCTGGTGTCAGATTCTAATATCAACCTCAGAGACAGTAATGGATGGACACCAATAATGGCTGCAGCTTTCAAAGGACACAAAAGCGTGTTTGACCTTCTTGAATCAAAGGGGGCAGACTCCACCCTGCTTGATACATTTGGTGATAGTTTACTTCACCTTGCCTGTCAGGGAGGTAACATGTCTTTGGTAGAACATCTGGTGTCAGATTCTAATATCAACCTCAAGAGGCGGTAATGGATGGACACCAATAATGGCTGCAGCTTTCAAAAGGACACAAAAGCGTGTTTGACCTCCTTGAATCAAAGGGGCAGACTCCACCTGCTTGATACATTTGGTGATAGTTTACTTCACCTTGCCTGTCAGGGAGGGAACATGGCTCTGGTTGAACATCTGGTGTCAGATTCTAATATCAACCTCAAAGGCAGTAATGGATGGACACCAATAATGGCTGCAGCTTTCAAAGGACACAAAAGCGTGTTTGACCTTCTTGAATCAAAGGGGCAGACTCCACCCTGCTTGATACATTTGGTGATAGTTTACTTCACCTTGCCTGTCAGGGAGGGAACATGGCTTTGGTTGAACATCTGGTGTCAGATTCTAATATCAACCTCAAGGGCGGCAATGGAAGGACACCACTAATGGCTGCAGCTTTCAATGGACACAAAAGCGTGTTTGACCTTCTTGAATCAAAGGGGGCAGACTCCACCCTGCTTGATACATTTGGTGATAGTTTACTTCACCTTGCCTGTCAGGGAGGCAACATGTCTTTGGTTGAACATCTGGTGTCAGATTCTAATATCAACCTCAGAGGCAGTAATGGAAGGACACCAATAATGGCTGCAGCTTTGAAAAGGACACAAAAGCGTGTTTGACCTTCTTGAATCAAAGGGGCAGACTCCACCCTGCTTGATACATTTGGTGATAGTTTACTTCACCTTGCCTGTCAGGGAGGCAACATGGCTTTGGTTGAACATCTGGTGTCAGATTCTAATATCAACCTCAAAGGCGGAAATGGAAGGACACCACTAATGGCTGCAGCTTTCAAAGGACACAAAAGCGTGTTTGACCTTCTTGAATCAAAGGGGCAGACTCCACCTGCTTGATACATTTGGTGATAGTTTACTTCACCTTGCCTGTCAGGGAGGGAACATGTCTTTGGTTGAACATCTGGTGTCAGATTCTAATATCAACCTCAAAGGCAGTAATGGAAGGACACCAATAATGGCTGCAGCTTTCAAAGGACACAAAAGCGTGTTTGACCTTCTTGAATCAAAGGGGCAGACTCCACCTGCTTGATACATTTGGTGATAGTTTACTTCACCTTGCCTGTCAGGGAGGGAACGTGGCTCTGGTTGAACATCTGGTGTCAGATTCTAATATCAACCTCAGAGGCAGTAATGGATGGACACCAATAATGGCTGCAGCTTTCAAAGGACACAAAAGCGTGTTTGACCTTCTTGAATCAAAGGGGGCAGACTCCACCCTGCTTGATACATTTGGTGATAGTTTACTTCACCTTGCCTGTCAGGGAGGGAACGTGGCTCTGGTTGAACATCTGGTGTCAGATTCTAATATCAACCTCAGAGACAGTAATGGATGGACACCAATAATGGCTGCAGCTTTCAAAGGACACAAAAGCGTGTTTGACCTCCTTGAATCAAAGGGGGCAGACTCCACCCTGCTTGATACATTTGGTGATAGTTTACTTCACCTTGCCTGTCAGGGAGGCAACGTTGCTTTGGTTGAACATCTGGTGTCAGATTCTAATATCAACCTCAGAAACGGATATGGATGGACACCACTAATGGCTGCAGCTTTCAACGGACACAAAAGCGTGTTTGACCTTCTTGAATCAAAGGGGGCGGATTCCACCCTGCTTGATACATTTGGTGATAGTTTACTTCACCTTGCCTGTCAGGGAGGTAACATGTCTTTGGTAGAACATCTGGTGTCAGATTCTAATATCAACCTCAAGAGCGATAATGGATGGACACCACTAATGGCTGCAGCTTTCAAAGGACACAAAAGCGTGTTTGACCTTCTTGAATCAAAGGGGCAGACCTCACTGCTGCTTGATACATTTGGTGATAGTTTACTTCACCTTGCCTGTCAGGGAGGCAACATGTGCTCTGGTTGAACATCTGGTGTCAGATTCTAATATCAACCTCAGAGGCAGTAATGGATGGACACCACTAATGGCTGCAGCTGTCAAAGGACACAAAAGCGTGTTTGACCTTCTTGAATCAAAGGGGGCAGACTCCACCCTGCTTGATACATTTGGTGATAGTTTACTTCACCTTGCCTGTCAGGGAGGCAACGTTTCTTTGGTTGAACATCTGGTGTCAGATTCTAATATCAACCTCAAAGGCAGATAATGGATGGACACCAATAATGGCTGCAGCTTCTAAAGGACACAAAAGCGTGTTTGACTTCCTTGAATCAAAGGGGGCAGACTCCACCCTGCTTGATACATTTGGTGATAGTTTACTTCACCTTGCCTGTCAGGGAGGGAACATGTCTTTGGTTGAACATCTGGTGTCAGATTCTAATATCAACCTGAAGGGTGGCAATGGAAGGACACCACTAATGGCTGCAGCTTTCAAAGGACACAAAAGCGTGTTTGACCTTCTTGAATCAAAGGGGGCAGACTCCACCCTGCTTGATACATTTGGTGATAGTTTACTTCACCTTGCCTGTCAGGGAGGTAACATGTCTTTGGTAGAACATCTGGTGTCAGATTCTAATATCAACCTCAGAAACGGGTATGGAAGGACACCACTAATGGCTGCAGCTTTCAAAGGACACAAAAGCGTGTTTGACCTTCTTGAATCAAAGGGGGCAGACTCCACCCTGCTTGATACATTTGGTGATAGTTTACTTCACCTTGCCTGTCAGGGAGGTAACATGTCTTTGGTAGAACATCTGGTGTCAGATTCTAATATCAACCTCAAGAGCGATAATGGATGGACACCACTAATGGCTGCAGCTGTCAAAGGACACAAAAGCGTGTTTGACTTCCTTGAATCAAAGGGGGCAGATTCCACGCTGCTTGATACATTTGGTGATAGTTTACTTCACCTTGCCTGTCAGGGAGGGAAAGTGGCTCTGGTTGAACATCTGGTGTCAGATTCTAATATCAACCTCAGAGGCAGTAATGGATGGACACCAATAATGGCTGCAGCTCTCTATGGACACAAAAACGTGTTTGACTTCCTGGACTCAAAGGGGGCAGACTCCACCCTGCTTGATACATTTGGTGATAGTTTACTTCACCTTGCCTGTCAGGGAGGTAACATGTCTTTGGTAGAACATCTGGTGTCAGATTCTAATATCAACCTCAAGAGCGATAATGGATGGACACCACTAATGGCTGCAGCTTTCAAAGGACACAAAAGCGTGTTTGACCTTCTTGAATCAAAGGGGGCAGACTCCACCCTGCTTGATACATTTGGTGATAGTTTACTTTACCTTGCCTGTCAGGGAGGTAACATGTCTTTGGTAGAACATCTGGTGTCTGATTCTAATATCAACCTCAAGAGCGATAATGGATGGACACCACTAATGGCTGCAGCTCTCTATGGACACAAAAACATGTTTGACTTCCTGGAATCAAAGGGGGCAGACTCCACGCTGCTTGATACATTTGGTGATAGTTTACTTTACCTTGCCTGTCAGGGAGGTAACATGTCTTTGGTAGAACATCTGGTGTCAGATTCTAATATCAACCTCAGAAACGGGTATGGAAGGACACCAATAATGGCTGCAGCTCTCTATGGACACAAAAATGTTTTTGACTTCCTTGAATCAAAGGGGGCAGATTCCACGCTGCTTGACACATTTGGTGATAGTTTACTCCACCTTGCCTGTCAGGGAGGTAACATGTCTTTGGTAGAACATCTGGTGTCAGATTCTAATATCAACCTCAAGAGCGATAATGGAAGGACACCACTAATGGCTGCAGCTTTCAAAGGACACAAAAGCGTGTTTGACCTTCTTGAATCAAAGGGGGCAGATTCCACACTGCTTGATACATTTGGTAATAGTTTACTTCACCTTGCCTGTCAGGGAGGGAAAGTGGCTCTGGTTGAACATCTGGTGTCAGATTCTAATATCAACCTCAGAGGCAGTAATGGATGGACACCACTAATGGCTGCAGCTGTCAAAGGACACAAAAGCGTGTTTGACCTTCTTGAATCTAAGGGGGCAGATTCCACGCTGCTTGATACATTTGGTGACAGTTTACTTTACTTTGCCTGTCAGGGAGGTAACATGTCTTTGGTAGAACATCTGGTGTCAGATTCTAATATCAACCTCAAGAGCGATAATGGATGGACACCACTAATGGCTGCAGCTCTCTATGGACACAAAAACGTGTTTGACCTCCTTGAATCAAAGGGGGCAGACTCCACGCTGCTTGATACATTTGGTGATAGTTTACTTTACCTTGCCTGTGAGGGAGGTAACATGTCTTTGGTAGAACATCTGGTGTCAGATTCTAATATCAACCTCAAGAGCGGTAATGGATGGACACCACTAATGGCTGCAGCTGTCAAAGGACACAAAAACGTGTTTGACTTCCTTGAATCAAAGGGGGCAGACTCCACCCTGCTTGATACATTTGGTGATAGTTTACTTCACCTTGCCTGTCAGGGAGGCAACGTTGCTTTGGTTGAACATTTGGTGTCAGATTCTAATATCAACCTGAAGGGTGGCAATGGAAGGACACCACTAATGGCTGCAGCTTTCAAAGGACACAAAAGCGTGTTTGACCTCCTTGAATCAAAGGGGGCAGACTCCACCCTGCTTGATACATTTGGTGATAGTTTATTCCACCTTGCCTGTCAGGGAGGTAACATGTCTTTGGTAGAACATCTGGTGTCAGATTCTAATATCAACCTCAAGAGCGATAATGGATGGACACCAATAATGGCTGCAGCTGTCAATGGACACAAAAATGTGTTTGACTTCCTGGAATCAAAGGGGGCAGATTCCACGCTGCTTGATATATTTGGTGATAGTTTACTTCACCTCCCCAGGGAGGGAAAGTGGCTCTGGTTGAACATCTGGTGTCTGATTCTAATATCAACCTCAGAGGCAGTAATGGATGGACACCAATAATGGCTTCAGCTCCCTATGGACACAAAAACGTGTTTGACTTCCTGGAATCAAAGGGGGCAGACTCCACGCTGCTTGATACATTTGGTGATAGTTTACTTTACCTTGCCTGTCAGGGAGGTAACATGTCTTTGGTAGAACATCTGGTGTCAGATTCTAATATCAACCTCAAGAGCAGTAATGGATGGACACCACTAATGGCTGCAGCTTTCAAAGGACACAATAACGTGTTTGACTTCCTGGAATCAAAGGGGGCAGATTCCACGCTGCTTGATACATTTGGTGATAGTTTACTTCACCTTGCCTGTGAGGGAGGGAAAGTGGCTCTGGTTGAACATCTGGTGTCTGATTCTAATATCAACCTCAGAGGCAGTAATGGATGGACACCAATAATGGCTTCAGCTCCCTATGGACACAAAAACGTGTTTGACTTCCTGGAATCAAAGGGGGCAGACTCCACCCTGCTTGATATATTTGGCAATAGTCTACTTCATTTTGCCAGTCAGGGAGGTAACATGTCTTTGGTAGAACATCTGGTGTCAGATTCTAATATCAACCTCAAGAGCAATAATGGATGGACACCAATAATGGCTGCATCTGTCAATGGACACAAAAATGTGTTTGACTTCCTGGAATCAAAGGGGGCAGACTCCACGCTGCTTGATACATTTGGTGATAGTTTACTTCACCTCCCCAGGGAGGGAAGGTGGCTCTGGTTGAACATCTGGTGTCTGATTCTAATATCAACCTCAGAGGCAGTAATGGATGGACACCAATAATGGCTGCAGCTCTCTATGGACACAAAAACGTGTTTGACTTCCTTGAATCAAAGGGGGCAGACTCCACGCTGCTTGATACATTTGGTGATAGTTTACTTTACCTTGCCACCTTGCCTGTCAGGGAAGTAACATGTCTTTGGTAGAACATCTGGTGTCAGATTCTATTATTAACCTCAAGAGCGGTAATGGATTGACACCAATAATGGCTGCAGCTCTCTATGGACACAAAAACGTGTTTGACTTCCTTGAATCAAAGGGGGCAGACTCCACGCTGCTTGATACATTTGGTGATAGTTTACTTTACCTTGCCTGTCAGGGAGGTAACATGTCTTTGGTAGAACATCTGGTGTCAGATTCTAATATCAACCTCAAGAGCGGTAATGGATGGACACCACTAATGGCTGCAGCTGTCAATGGACACAAAAACGTATTTGACTTCCTTGAATCAAAGGGGGCAGACTCCACGCTGCTTGATACATTTGGTGATAGTTTACTTCACCTTGCCTGTGAGGGAGGGAAAGTGGCTCTGGTTGAACATCTGGTGTCTGATTCTAATATCAACCTCAGAGGCAGTAATGGATGGACACCAATAATGGCTTCAGCTCCCTATGGACACAAAAACGTGTTTGACTTCCTGGAATCAAAGGGGGCAGACTCCACCCTGCTTGATATATTTGGCAATAGTCTACTTCATTTTGCCTGTCAGGGAGGTAACATGTCTTTGGTAGAACATCTGGTGTCAGATTCTAATATCAACCTCAAGAGCAATAATGGATGGACACCAATAATGGCTGCATCTGTCAATGGACACAAAAATGTGTTTGACTTCCTGGAATCAAAGGGGGCAGACTCCACGCTGCTTGATACATTTGGTGATAGTTTACTTCACCTCCCCAGGGAGGGAAAGTGGCTCTGGTTGAATATCTGGTGTCTGATTCTAATATCAACCTCAGAGGCAGTAATGGATGGACACCAATAATGGCTGCAGCTCTCTATGGACACAAAAACGTGTTTGACTTCCTTGAATCAAAGGGGGCAGACTCCACGCTGCTTGATACATTTGGTGATAGTTTACTTTACCTTGCCACCTTGCCTGTCAGGGAAGTAACATGTCTTTGGTAGAACATCTGGTGTCAGATTCTATTATTAACCTCAAGAGCGGTAATGGATTGACACCAATAATGGCTGCAGCTCTCTATGGACACAAAAACGTGTTTGACTTCCTTGAATCAAAGGGGGCAGACTCCACGCTGCTTGATACATTTGGTGATAGTTTACTTTACCTTGCCTGTCAGGGAGGTAACATGTCTTTGGTAGAACATCTGGTGTCAGATTCTAATATCAACCTCAAGAGCGGTAATGGATGGACACCACTAATGGCTGCAGCTGTCAATGGACACAAAAACGTATTTGACTTCCTTGAATCAAAGGGGGCAGACTCCACGCTGCTTGATACATTTGGTGATAGTTTACTTCACCTTGCCTGTGAGGGAGGAAAAGTGGCTCTGGTTGGACGTTTGGTGTCTGATTCTAATATCAACCTGAGAGGCAGTAATGGATGGACAGCAATAATGGCTGCAGCTTTCAAAGGACACAAAAGCGTGTTTGACTTCCTGGAATCAAAGGGGGCAGACTCCACCCTGCTTGATACATTTGGTGATAGTTTACTTCACCTTGCCAGTCAGGGAGGCAACATGTCTTTGGTTGAACATTTGGTGTCAGATTCTAATATCAACCTGAAAGGCCGCAATGGAATGACACCAATAATGGCTGCAGCTTTCAGTGGACAGAGAGGCGTGTTTGACCTCCTTGAATCAAAGGGGGCAGACTCCACCCTGCTTGATATATTTGGCAATAGTCTAGTTCATTTTGCCTGTCATAGAGGTAACATGTGTTTGGTAGAACATCTGGTGTCAGATTCTAATATCAACCTCAAGAGCGATAATGGATGGACACCAATAATGGCTGCATCTGTCAATGGACACAAAAATGTGTTTGACTTCCTGGAATCAAAGGGGGCAGACTCCACGCTGCTTGATACATTTGGTGATAGTTTACTTCACCTCCCCAGGAAGGGAAAGTGGCTCTGGTTGAACATCTGGTGTCTGATTCTAATATCAACCTGAGAGGCAGTAATGGATGGACACCAATAATGGCTGCAGCTCTCTATGGACACAAAAACGTGTTTGACTTCCTTGAATCAAAGGGGGCAGACTCCACGCTGCTTGATACATTTGGTGATAGTTTACTTTACCTTGCCTGTCAGGGAGGTAACATGTCTTTGGTAGAACATCTGGCGTCCGATTCTAATATCAACCTCAAGAGCGGTAATGGATGGACACCAATAATGGCTGCAGCTTTCAAAGGACACAATAACGTGTTTGACTTCCTTGAATCAAAGGGGGCAGATTCCACGCTGCTTGATACATTTGGTGATAGTTTACTTCACCTTGCCTGGCAGGGAGGGAAAGTGGCTCTGGTTGAACATCTGGTGTCTGATTCTAATATCAACCTGAGAGGCAGTAATGGATGGACAGCAATAATGGCTGCAGCTTTCAAAGGACACAAAAACGTGTTTGACTTCCTGGAATCAAAGGGGGCAGATTCCACGCTGCTTGATACATTTGGTAATAGTTTACTTCACCTTGCCTGTGAGGGAGGGAAAGTGGCTCTGGTTGAACATCTGGTGTCAGATTCTAATATCAACCTGAGAGGCAGTAATGGAAGGACACCAATAATGGCTGCAGCTGTGAAAGGACACAAAAACGTGTTTGACTTCCTGGAATCAAAGGGGGCAGATTCCATGCTGCTTGATACATTTGGTGATAGTTTACTTTACCTTGCCTGTGAGGGAGGGAAAGTGGCTCTGGTTGAACATCTGGTGTCTGATTCTAATATCAACCTGAGAGGCAGTAATGGATGGACAGCAATAATGGCTGCAGCTTTCAAAGGACACAAAAGCGTGTTTGACTTCCTGGAATCAAAGGGGGCAGACTCCACCCTGCTTGATACGTTTGGTGATAGTTTACTTCACCTTGCCTGTGAGGGAGGGAAAGTGGCTCTGGTTGAACATCTGGTGTCAGATTCTAATATCAACCTCAGAGGCAGTAATGGATGGACACCACTAATGGCTGCAGCTTTCAAAGGACACAAAAACGTGTTTGACTTCCTTGAATCAAAGGGGGCAGACTCCACTCTGCTTGATACATTTGGCAGTAGTTTACTTCACCTTGCCTGTCAGGGAGGCAACATGTCTTTGGTTGAACATTTGGTGTCAGATTCTAATATCAACCTTAAAGGCCGCAATGGAAGGACACCAATAATGGCTGCAGCTTTCAGTGGACGGAGAGGCGTGTTTGACTTCCTTGAATCAAAGGGGGCAGACTCCACCCTGCTTGATATATTTGGCAATAGTCTACTTCATTTTGCCTGTCATGGAGGTAACATATCTTTGGTAGAACATCTGGTGTCTGATGCTAATATCAACCTGAAAGGCGGCAGTGGAAGGACACCAATAATGGCTGCAGTTTTCAAAGGACACAAAAGCGTGTTTGACCTCCTTGAAATGAAGGGGGCAGACCCCACCCTGCTTGATACATTTGGTGATAGTTTACTTCACCTTGCCTGTCAGGGAGGCAACATATCTTTGGTTGAACATCTGGTGTCTGATGCTAATATCAACCTCAGAGGCAGTAATGGATGGACACCACTAATGGCTGCAGCTTTAAAGGGAGACAAGAGTGTGTTTGACCTTCTTGAATCAAAGGGGGCAGACTCCACCCTGCTTGATACATTTGGTGATAGTTTACTTCACCTTGCCTGTCAGGGAGGGAAAGTGGCTCTGGTTGAACACCTGGTGTCTGATTCTAATATCAACCTCAGAGGCAGTAATGGATGGGCACCAATCATGGCTGCAGCTCTCTATGGAAACAAAAGCGTGTTTGACCTCCTTGAATCAAAGGGGGCAGATTCCACGCTGCTTGATACATTTGGTGATAGTTTACTTTACCTTGCCACCTTGCCTGTCAGGGAGGTAACATGTCTTTGGTAGAACATCTGGTGTCAGATTCTATTATTAACCTCAAGAGCGGTAATGGATGGACACCAATAATGGCTGCAGCTCTCTATGGGACACAAAAAGGTGTTTGACTTCCTTGAATCAAAGGGGGCAGACTCCACGCTGCTTGATACATTTGGTGATAGTTTACTTCACCTTGCCTGTCAGGGAGGAAAAGTGACTCTGGTTGGACGTTTGGTGTCTGATTCTAATATCAACCTCAGAGGCAGTAATGGATGGACAGCAATAATGGCTGCAGCTTTCAAAGGACACAAAAGCGTATTTGACTTCCTGGAATCAAAGGGGGCAGACTCCACCCTGCTTGATACGTTTGGTGATAGTTTACTTCACCTTGCCAGTCAGGGAGGCAACATGTCTTTGGTTGAACATTTGGTGTCAGATTCTAATATCAACCTGAAAGGCCGCAATGGAATGACACCAATAATGGCTGCAGCTTTCAGTGGTCGGAGAGGCGTGTTTGACCTCCTTGAATCAAAGGGGGCAGACTCCACCCTGCTTGATATATTTGGCAATAGTCTACTTCATTTTGCCTGTCATGGAGGTAACATATCTTTGGTAGAACATCTGGTGTCAGATTCTAATATCAACCTCAAGAGCGATAATGGATGGACACCACTAATGGCTGCAGCTCTCTATGGACACAAAAACATGTTTGACTTCCTGGAATCAAAGGGGGCAGACTCCACGCTGCTTGATACATTTGGTGATAGTTTACTTTACCTTGCCTGTCAGGGAGGTAACATGTCTTTGGTAGAACATCTGGTGTCAGATTCTAATATCAACCTCAAGAGCGATAATGGATGGACACCAATAATGGCTGCAGCTCTCTATGGACACAAAAACGTGTTTGACTTCCTTGAATCAAAGGGGGCAGATTCCACGCTGCTTGATACATTTGGTAATAGTTTACTTCACCTTGCCTGTCAGGGAGGGAAAGTGGCTCTGGTTGAACATCTGGTGTCAGATTCTAATATCAACCTCAGAGGAGATAATGGATGGACACCAATAATGGTTGCAGGTTCCAATGGACACAAAAGCGTGTTTGACCTCCTGGAATCAAAGGGGACAGTCCTCTCTCCATTAATAGTATAAACTGGAAGTATAAACTGGAAGTATAAACTTTGTGTCAAAGACTGGGCCCTTTGTATGTTGGAGGCCTGAACATTATTCACTATATGTTTGAACATTGTAACATGTAAGTTACATTTTGAATTTTATCGATTTCTATTTTCCTCAAGGCGAGGAACCATTCTGTATGAAACCATATGTTAAGCATGCAGGATAGGATCTGGAAGGCAAGAATCAAACGCGGTACTGTGGTGCGCAAAATGTGTCTTACGGGTGTCTCTTTCAGAGCAAGAAATATCTTCCGATTTCACAAACTTCTGATGTCACCGCTGATATTCTGTGATCAACTTTACCTTTTATGCCTGTTTGAGTTATCTATGATAATCCAGACTGACTATTCTCTGATGTTTTGTTTGTTATTACGAACTTGTGCTTGATACAGGTTGGTTGGTTGGTTTGTTGTTTAACCCAAATTCTTCTTGTAAAAATGTTTGTGAAAATCCTTATCATTACTTGTCTGACTGTCAATTATATACCGTACAGAGAACTACCATGAAGACTTATTTACGCAGTGTTACCAATTTAAATATAACCTATGAGTTACTATTACATGGCAATGCAGATCTGACTGTTCACAAAGGACACAAAAGCGTGTTTGACCTCCTTGAATTAAAGGGGGCAGACTCCATCCTGCTTGATACATCTGGTAATAATCTACTATATTTTGCCTGTCGGGGAGGCAACATGGCCTTGGAACAACACCTTGTGCGATTATCAACCTCAGAGGAGATAATGGATGGACACCAATAATGGTTGCAGGTTCCAATGGACACAAAAGCGTGTTTGACCTCCTGGAATCAAAGGGGGGAGTCCTCTCTCCATTAATAGTATAAACTGGAAGTATAAACTGGAAGTATAAACTGGAAGTATAAACTTTGTGTCAAAGACTGGGACCTTTGTATGTTGGAGGCCTGAACATTATTCACTATATGTTTGAACATTGTAACATGTAAGTTACATTTTGAATTTTATCGATTTCTATTTTCCTCAAGGCAAGGAACCATTCTGTATGAAACCATATGTTAAGCATGTTTAACCCAAATTCTTCTTGTGGAAATGTTTGTGAAAATCCTTATCATTACTTGTCTGAATGTCAATTATATACCGTCCAGAGAACTACCATGATGACTTATTTACGCAGTGTTACCAATTTAAATATAACCTATGAGTTACTATTACATGGCAATGCAGATCTGACTGTTCACATAAATCAAAACATATTTAAGATTGTTCAAACATATATTTGTCAATCAAACGATTTTCTTAATTATTGCAATTGTTCCACTCTTTTCTGTCTTTCTGTTCTTCTCTGTCCATCTTGTAGAATGAATGTAAATAATATTTTGTAAATACGACGGAGAGGGTGTACTAAGTTGTATAACTTCTACCCAGTCCTTTTCTCATGAATAATATCTGCTTGAAACAAACAAAACGCCGCACTCAGCAATATTGCAGCTACATCGGGCCGGTCTGTAAATAATCGAGTCTGGACCAGACAGTCCAGCATGCTCATCGATCTACGTAATTGAGATACGACATATGTCAACCAAGCCAGCGAGCCTGACCACCCGATCCCGTTCGTCGCCTCTTACGACAAGCATGGGTTACTGAAGATCAATATTCTAACCCGGATCTTCACGGAAGGCTTGATACAGGAGATACCTCTCGGCATCAAGGTTGATAGTGGAGGCCTTAGTTTGGTGGCGGACATACCAAATTGAGAGACTTGAAGCCGACAGCGTTTAGTGGACACCGACTTTGTGTTTCAGTGAATGTCTACGTAGTGTTTTTACTGAACTGTTGTTGGAGATGGGCGTGTGTTGTTCCGGAGACTTTTGAACTTATGTTGCGTTTTAGTGAATGTTTTCTACATGTATTTGCTCAGGGGTCATATTTCGATATATGGTCTCGTATTTACTGAACTGATGCTACATTTTGTTGAATGCTTACGAAGTTTATTACTTAAGTGATATTG